GTGGGGCGACTTGGTGAGGCAGCGGTGGATGTCCAGGCCGGGGATGGCGAGAAGAAAGTCCACCATCGGCCGCACCTCGCTCTCGAACGAGAAGAAGCGAGGCGTGGAGAGGCGGGCGCACTGCGAGGCAGCAGCGGGGGCAGCGGCAGCGGGCGGGTGCGTGAGGGCGCGAGGGCGCGAGGATGGCCTGCTGGCGGGCGGCAGGGCCGGGCAGGCGGCCGCTCGGCCAGGTGCGCTGGGCGGCCGGCCCACCACAGCAGGCGCAGCGTGCTGCGGGCCAAGCAGCCTGGCAGGCAGCCGGGCAGCTGGCGCACATGGCCCTTGGGGGTGGCCTGGTTGGTGATGCGGTACACCACGTCCCTGGCCTCTGCCTCGCTCAGTCCCGCCCGGTCCTGCAAGTACCGCAGCGCCGCCGCCGCCTCCCGCGACGCGCCGCCGCCGGCAGCCAGCAGCTGGTCCACGCCCACCCCGGCCTGCCCCGCCTCTGCCGCCGCCCCTGCCTCGTCCAGAGCGAGGAACTCCGCTGCCTCTCCCTCTAGCTCTAGCTCGCCCTCCCCATCCAGATCTGTGCCGCTTCGAAGCCAGTCCCCGCTCGCCGCCGCACTGTTGCTCACGCTCCGGCGGCCGCCGCTGCCGCTGCTGCTGGTGCTGCCGCTGCTGGTGCTGCCAGCAAGCGATCTGCGGCGTCTGGCCTGGGGCCGCTGCAGGGCAGCCGCGTGTGGCCATGCCAGCAGCAGCTCGGGGTTGCCGATGTCGAGGCGGTCGCCCGTGGCGGCGGCGGCGGCGGCGGCTGCCACATGGTAGCACTGCTGGCTGAGTGCTGCCGTTCTGAGGAGGGTGCTCAGCAGCTCCGTGCTTCCCGCATGGGCTAAGAGACCGTCCTCTGCTGCAAGCGACGAAACGTGCAGGGCGCGCAACAAGCGGGCGACCTGGCCCGATCGGGACGCCAGCATACTGCAGTGGTGCACACGATGAGACAAGTGGCGCCCAGCAAAGGAGGCTTCTTGAATGCAGCTCGGCGCCCAAGTTTTCCACCTGCCCGTTTCCGATGCATCTCTGCTGTTACCGCCTTGAAACGCAGCAATCGTGAACACCTAGGCTGGCCTGACCGCTGAAACGTGCCCAAGCGCGCTCCCCCTTCCGCCACTGGCTGTCGCAGTTGCTGTGCGCGTGCCAGCCGCGCTCCCAGCCATGGCTGCCACGATGCCTGCGTGTTTATGTCAGACCAGGGCGATTAGCGTGAGGCGCCCGGCTAACGCAGCTGTGGTACTGCCGCCCCGGTGCCGCCCCACCCGCCGCCGTCGTGGCTCCCTGCTGCTGCTGGCCTCGGCGGCCTCCATGCCAGCGCCGGACAGCAGCAACATCAGCAGCAACGGCGCTTCTCAGCCAGACACCAACGGCTCTGGCGCAGAGGTGCCGGTGGCGGCACCCCCCGCGGCAGATGTGGAGCCTAGTAGCAGCAGCGGCGGTGGCGGCATTTGGGGCTGGATCCGCGCACAACAGCAGAAGAGCGCGGAGCTGCGGACGCGTCTGGCGGCGCTGGGCCTGGCGGCAGTGCTGTCCTACGGTGGGTGTGGCGCTGGCATCTGCCCTCGCCGCTTCCCGCTGCTCAGCCGCAGCGCTGGCAGCACTGCCTGTGGCAGCCTGCCCTGTTGGCCAGCGCTGTCACTGCAGCCCGGCAGGCAGGCCCTGCCAGCCTTTCTTCCTCCATGCCTGCCTCCTCTCCCTGCCGCCTGCAGGCCTGTTTGATGGCGTGTCGTACACCATTGCGTTCAGCCTGGCCTTCTGGGCTACGAG